CATTAGAAAATCCTAAAATCACAGTCAGTGAGTGAAGAGGCTGCAGATCTGAGTGACTGTGCGTTTAGGAGTCGTCATCTCGCCCTGTTCGTCGTCGTCGTGGTGGCCGTGCTGGTAAACGGTTCTCAGGCCGAGCGGCGGCGTCTGTGAGGCAGCGAGTAATGCAGGTTGAGAGGCTCTCTTTGGCTCCACTTTCCCCCTCATCTTGAATTTCACTCGGGTTTCTGCGCGACCCGTCCGTTTCAGTCAGGACCCCTCGCCGTAATCACAAACAGAGTCGCTGGCAGCGGCACCCGCATACTCGCTCTGCTTCCCTGTCAGACGTGATTAATGGCGCCCGGCCCCCGGCGCGCCTCGCCTTGCCAGCCCCAGAGATGTTCCCTTGATACTTAATGAACTCTGACAAACTTCTTTTCTCTCATTGTGTTCCGCCAAGTCTTCCCTCCCTCCCTCCCTCGCGCTTCGTTTAAAGATGCTCAACATAAATTTGCCACCGTGGCACCAGAGCAGGTCACGCAGGGTTCTCATATTTCCCATGTAGTCAGGTTGAGGTGAGCTGTAAGACGGAAGGCCTGCGATTGTGCACGCACAGCTTGTATAACATAGCAAAGTAAAGCGTTGATGAACTGAATGGGACGTTCTGGAGCAGCTGCACATGAGCCTAAGGTCAAGAAGTGGGCTAGAGGGGTATAAAGCCCCCCAGCACTTGACTGTGCCACTATAAAAATCATCATATTGCATGTTATAACAAATTTAGACATGTTTTACTGTCATTAAGACACATTCTGAGTGTGGTTTCTTTTAAAAAGCAGTATCCATGTGCAATATTTACTATAAAATAATCAGTATATTGATAAAAAACTGTCCATAAGCTGTTCAATATGTATCACTATCAGGCCCAGATCATCCATTAGATTTAATGGGTGCCCAGGGGCCCGAGCCACTAGGGCAGGGGTCGCAACCCAAATATTAAGAAGAGCCATTTGGTCCTTTCAACAAAAATCAAACGACTTTGGGAGCCACAACATTTTATGTCAATTTATTGAAGTATCGTCTTGGCTGTAAATATGTCTCAGTATGTGCTGATGTACTAGTACAGGCTTAATAAATATAATATGAATAAAAAACAGAGACTTACTTTGCTCTGCTTTAAGCTTTAGCTCAGCTATAGCCGCTTTTCTCGCATCTCCAGCAGGAAACTTTCCACTACAGTAGAACAGTTTCTTGTAAAATGTTGGATTTTTACGAGGCTGAAGTCGCTTCTCATTCACCAGCTTCTTGTTCGAATTTTCCCGTTCCACCTTAAATGATGCCTGAGGTGCCAGAATGCAACAGCTGCACCTTTTAAGGTGGACCAAGAGAATTTGAATGAGAAGCGACTTCAGCATCGTGACTTTTTACTGTTTGTCAGTTTCTCACTGCAGATTAAATGTATCAGGAAACCAGCTGGAGTGATTATAAACAAAACAAGTCCATTCGTCTCCAAATTATCGATGTTCGCCTTAAATCTCTCTCTTCGTCTTTTCGTTAGCTACTAGCCAGGCGAGATTGTTGTCTGTGTTGCTATGGTGACCAGCAGTCTGCGCTGATCGTCAGGGTTAAAGGGTGAATCAGCAGTTCTACATTAACTCCAGAGTTTAAGACCATTTATTGATAAACTGTGTTGAACGATCAGCAGAGCTTTATTTTACTGTAAAGGAGGATTATTTTATTTTTACCTACTAATCTGATTCTGCTGTGGAGCCTCAACAGGGCAGTGAAAGCTCCGGAGGCACATGTTCCTGACCGCTGCACTACGGGGTCCACACGAGTAATTATGAGAAAATCTTGAGTTTCAATTCAATATTCAATTTTGAATAAGTAGCTCCATATATTCAAAAAAAGAGTAGAGGAAGGCCATTTCCAAAGGAAAAAAAATAATAATAAATTAAATAAGTTAAAGAAAAACAGTTACATCGTCCTTGTTGGTAAAGTGTCTTGGCAAGTGAAATTATCTTAAATTTAAAAAATATCTTAAATAAATCTAATATTTCTCATTTTGAGACTGTTGTAAGCTTAATATGTGATTATTTCACTTATTTCTCAACCTTCTTTATTTGTTTAGGTAGTTTTAGTAAGTCACATTTTCTCACTATATTGGCAGATAATTTCAAAACAGACACAAAATGTCAAAAGATAATTAAAATATCGTATCATAATCCTACCACAATCTCAAAATGAGAAACATTAGATAGATTTAAGATAATTTCACTTGCCAAGATGCCAATTTTTGCAGTGCAGTGATCTGGGAACTGCCTGATCCTGCTCATAAAGTCATCAAAGGTAAGATATAAATACATTTTAAAAATGTACATGCTAGCCCTGGCAGTACACTTTAGCCTAGGATGCTTTTTAAGTTTGCTGTCTTCTTCTGTCTTTTCACTGGGGTAAATTTTTGCTTGTCAAAAGATTTATGGGGAAATTTAATTGTTTTTTGCCTTTATGTTAACCTGTGGTCTCACTAATATCTAACCAATCTTGCTACTGTTTTGTTCTGATTGGAAATAAATATGCATTCATAGTGGTGACGTGCCCAACACCCTGGTGAGTATGCTGCCATCGTGGTGCTGCTTAGCCCTCACGGGCCAGGGGTCCACCAAACGTTTGTGCCGAGGGGCTGCTAACTTGATGATCCGGGCATGACTGTCATACAGAACAATCTGCAGTTAGAACTGGAGCTCTGCTGCAGAACAATGAGACCACAAAGAAGATCATACTAACGCTGTATTTATAGTACCACCATATAAATGGTGTGAAATGCACAGTATCATAGGGTCTATGATAGTCTTTACCTCATAGACAGATATCAGATAGTAATCTATTAGTAAGATAGTAAGAAATCTGATGAAGAGGCTGGATTTTAGCTCAGTAATCAGATTTGTCAGTGCTGTAAACTCTTACTCTGATTTCTTTCGGATTTCTCAGTCTGAGCATGTGCGAAAACAGATGGCGGTACCGGAAATAAGTGAGCAGCGTCGCCACGAGACGCAGCAAAACACTTTTGGAGCGACGCTGAAACCAAATACATGCTTGACGAAATGAAGGATTTAAATATTCTTCATCGTCTAGACGATGTCTGTTCATATTTTCAGGTAAAGTGGGTCGATGTTTAAAAAAACATCAGATAAAAAACATCAGATAGTCTTTACGTAACACTGTCACTGAGTTTGTTTACATGCACTTAATAAAATCAGAAAATCAGATTTTGTCAGTAATTCGATCAACATGTTTACATGCACTTGAGTAATCTGATAATGGGGAAACTCCAGGTCTACATGAGTCAGACAGTAATCAGATTTCTACTTTACACCCAGCCAATAAACTCACAGAAGAATATGTGACGTAAACATTAACTGGAACTTTATGCCACCGTTTTTTTTAAACATTGCGCCGCTTTACCTGAAAATATGAACAAACATCATCTAGAAGATGAAGAATATTTAAATCCTTCATTTCGTCAAGCCTGTAGTCGGTTTCTGCGTCGCTCCAAAAGTGTTTTGCTGCGTCTCGCCGCGACGCTGCTCGCTTATTTCCGGTACCGCTGTCTGTTTTCGCACATGCTCAGACTGAGAAATCTGAAAGAAATCAGAGTAAGAGTTTACAGCACTGACAAATCTGATTACTGAGCTAAAATCCAGCCTCTTTATCAGATTTCTTAATCAGATTTCTAGACCTTACTCTGATCTAAGAAATCAGAATATGCTGTTTAGATAACTGCAGAAATCCGATTATGTGCATGTAAACACACTTCAATGTGGAAACCTGCTGAGCAGCCTCTGTTTATCAAATAAACACCCCAATGATCTTCGGAGACACGCGGCCTGCAGAGAGTTAACAGCTGCAGCGGTTTTGGAAAGTAGTGATGAAGATAACGGAGCATTTTGATATGAAACAGATGAGGATCATGTTATTGTCACGGTCACAGTCGTTCACAAGCAAAGTTTTTTTCTAACAGCTCGCTCTCCACTCAGCTCACATCTCTCTCTCTCTTTCTCTACACACACACACACACGCACACACAGGGCGGTTCCTAGCCCCCCCGGCCCTCTCCAATCAGAGTCTATAGCAAAATGAACCAAGCACAGTAAATGCTGGAGAACACACAGCCTGAAACTAACACACCAGAACATTTCTACAACACATACATTACCTACATCACATCTTCGGCTGATATGAAGTGCTTAGTGATTTATATATGTTCATTTAGCGCAAACAGTGAGAGCTTCTGGTTTAACCTCTTCAACTCCTTGAGACCACCGGTGGTTCCAAAACGCACTTCGTCATATTCTTCATAACTTTCATATTTCATAAGCTACATTCTAAAGGTGGGGGTCGTATGAGAGCTGTAACTGTCTTCTTTCCAGTCAAATAGATGGGCGACGTAATTTTAAACCCTTATAATAAGATAATAATAAGAAGCTGAACTCACAATTTTTTTCTACTGAAAGTCGACCCATTTTTCCACAAATCTGGGCTTTAAACTATAAACAGATGGCGTCTCTTCAGTGATCTGCTCTGTGAAAATTATTTTTATAAAATAATGCAAAGAGCGTCTAAGATTTTTGGCTTTCAGCAGTAAATTGTAAGCATATAGCAATATGTGTGATCATAAAACACATGTTCTGTTGATTTGAGGGGAGCTTTTACAAAATAAATAAATAAATCAAATTAAAATGTACATTTATTTCACGCAGTTACTGAATAATTAAAATAATACCCACGAGCATAAGAGGTTAAACATCATTTCTTTACATTGTCTGAACATTTCATGATGAATGGACCAATAGAAATGCTCCAAAAATGCTTGGAATAAAAAAAAAACCTATAAAGAAAATGAATTTACACAGACTTACACGGAAGGACGAGGGAACAAAAATAAGTTTGACTTTGGCGCCATCTGCCGGCCACGACACGAACAGCAGGGGGAGAAAAAGTGACGAAAGACGCATGCGTGCGTCATGATGCCACAGATCCTCTACAATGGCAGCTAGATAACCCACACTTAAAGAATCCACTGCAGGCTTCCTGGAGGGATTAACGGAAAGCCCTTTGACATGTAGGTAGCATTTTCATACCCTTTTCTAACTAGATTCAGCCGAACAGCTCATTAGGAACTGATGAATGTCTGCTTGAACATTAGAGAGAGTAAAAAGGGTTAAAGACAGAAATGTTAGCGCGGTTTAGCTTAGCTAGCTAAGTTAGCAGTACAAGGCAGTAGTAGTTAAGGTAGCATCCGGTCCCCCGATGTTAATGATGTTTTAGTCTTAGCTAATACGACCCGGCTGTTTTCGGGTCCTGAGTCGTCGCTCGACCTTTCTGTGAAGTTTACTGTGTTGTAAACGACAGGATGAGGGCTGTTCGTGTGTTCAGCTGTTTATGTGTTCAGCTGCGAGGCATTTCTCAGGCTAGTACTCAGCCGGTTAGCTCAGGCAAGGTGTTGCCGTGGATGTAACGTCAATTCAGCCGGTTTTACAAAAAATTTCAGGGCAGACATTCAGACAAAATACCGAAAACTGTATTTCTGTAGTGTTTAAAACCTTCAGTCCGCGTTCTCGCGCTTTAAAGTTGTAAAATTAGAGAAAACATGCGCATCTTCAGGGCCAAAGATAGTTTCGTAGTTTCAGGTGTTTTGTACGGAGCCCCTAAGGTGACATGGTGATTGTTTATTCCATAAGGCGTGGCCACAAATTAATATATTGGGGCAGCAAATTACTATATTGAGGCCACAAGTTACTATACTGAAGCCGCAACTTACTACGTTTATACCACTAATTACTATATTGAAGCCACAAAAATTAATATATTGAGGGCACAATTTACTATATTTAGGCCACTAATTACTATACGGAGACCACAAATTAATACATTGAGGCCACAAATTACTATGTTGAGGCTGTAATTTATTACATTTATACCACAAATTACTTTATTAAAGCCACAAATTAATATATTGAGGCCACAAATTAATATATTGAGAGCACCAATTACTGTACTGAAGCCACAATTTACTATGTTTAGACCACAAATAATATATTGAGGTCACGAATTACTATACTGAAGCCGCAACTTACTACATTTATACCACTAATTACTATATTGAAGCCACAAATTAATATATTGAGGCCATAAATTAATATATTGAGGGCACACATTACTGTATTGAAGCCACAATTTGTGTTTAGACTACAAATTACTATACCGAGACCACAAATTAATACATTGAGGCCATAAATGAATATTTTGAGGCCACAAGTTATGAGAAACTTAGTATAGTCATTTGAGGCCTCAATACAGCATTCAGTGGCCTGAATATAGTATTTTTTATTATATTCTATTATTGTTTGTTAAAAAATAATCACTATGTCCCCTTAGGGGCTCTGTAGTTTTGTATTTGGAACCTGGTGCATGTGATTTCCAAAGAGGTGATTTCGGAGAGGAACCTCCACCAAACAACCTCCAGCCCCTCTCTTATGGCACACATTGCTCCCCCATAGTTCTGGAAGATGGTGAAGATTACAGATTAGATCTTTTGATGGGGTTTGCCTTTTAAAGGCTATTCACTATTTCACTATGACCCCAAACGCAGTCGATCAACTAAGACAAACTTGCTGCTGTGCAAAGCTAAATAAGCAAAATTAGAGCTCTTCTGCTTCCCTGAGTTTCCATACAGCTCATCCAGGCAGCTGGGTAGGCTGGGTAAGTAGTGTCCAAGTGACAGCTGCTCACAGATGTTTACTACCAAACACAGAGGTGTTTATACCCCTACGTGTCCAAATACACCAATCAGGCATAACATTATGACCACCTCCTTGTTTCTACGCTCATTGTCCATTTTATCCGCTCCACTTACTATATAGGTGCACTTTGTAGTTCTACAGTTACAGACTGTAGTCCATCTGTTTCTCTGATACTTTGTTACCCTTTTACCCTGTTCTTCAGTGGTCAGGACCCCCATGGACCCTCACAGAGCAGGTACTATTTGGGTGGTGGGTCATTCTCAGCACTGCAGTAACATTGACGTGGTGGTGGTGTGTTAGTGTGTGTTGTGCTGGTCTGAGTGGATCAGACACAGCAGTTCTGCTGGAGTTTTTAAACACCTCAGTGTCACTGCTGGACTGAGAATAGTCCAACAACCAAAAATATTCAGACAACAGCGTCCTGTGGGCAGCGTCCTGTGACCACTGATGAAGGACTAGAGGATGACCAACACAAACTGTGCAGCAGCAGATGAGCTATCGTCTCTGACTTTACATCTATAAGGTGCACTGACAAGGTAGGAGTGTCTAATAGAGTGGACAGTGAGTGGACACAGTGTTTAAAAACTCCAGCAGCACTGCTGTGTCTGATCCATTTGTACCAGCACAACACACACTAACACACCACCACCACGTCAGTGTTACTGCAGTGCTGAGAATGATCCACCACCCAAATACTACCTGCTCTGTGAGGGTCCATAGGGGTCCTGACCACTGAAGAACAGGGTAAAAGGGGGCTAACAAAGTATCAGAGAAGCAGATGGACTACAGTCTGTAACTGTAGAACTACAAAGTGCACCTATATAGTAAGTGGAGCTGATAAAATGGACAATGAGCGTAGAAACAAGGAGGTGGTCATGATGTTACGCCTGATCGGTGTAGGAGTTTCACCTTCAGGCCCATATGGCGCTGGTTTCTGCTAATCCTCTTAGCCTCCAGCCAGGTCACGACACGGCACTCTACTACAGTGCACATCAGGTGAGGGAACAAGAAGTTCATTGTTGTTATTATATGTAATAGAGTGAAATGCAGGCTCTGTAGATCAGACTGCACCATAGTTATGCGTAATAGAGACCATAATATCGCTGTTGTCAGAACAAAACCTCGTATCTCCAAAATGCTAACTTTACAGGAGAAGGAAAAAACCTACTTTACTTTTAATGTAAGTCAATGGAACCAGACGTCTTTCCAAGTCATTTTGGGTCATTTCTTTTGGTCCACTCTTCATGAAATTTACACACAAAGTAAAGGGCAACAGGCATTTTCAAATTATGTCAAAAACTGAAAAATGTCAAAAATGGAGATAGGAGGTTTTCTTCCAACAGCAGCGATATACACATCTAAACATAGTTCAAGTAGACAAGGCAGTGCAGACAGAGGTCTTGATTGCTGTCACGTTTGCTGTCTAGGCTGGGATTATTAAATCCTCTGGGTGGTGTTCTGCTGTACTGGTGTTGTATTTAATTCTATCATATAATATTTATGGCTGTCACTCTCGATTATGTTAGTAATTAAATACCATATTGATTTTTTGGACAGTCAGATAATTTGAGTTCTTATAAAGGGCAAATTATAAAAATTGATACAAGTGAGCCGTAAATAACTATGCAGAGCCTTTCAAAGATAACAATGTTAATAATTAATAAATAAATAAAAATCTTTATTTACACAGATCCATCTTTAAATGCGCTCAGCGTGTTTAAAGGGAATGATACCGATATTTCAAAATCTCTGCATAATTTAGTCACTCCGATTTAAACAGAGTCATTCAGAGTGGTTTGGTGTGAAATGGTTCAGATGTCTTTACAGTGGTGGTGATAGGAACCAGGGGTCGCCATGACTACAACACAGATATAGACATTTTATTTACTATCCAAAACCACCAGTGAACCTACACGAGTCTTCTGAGTTTATATGGAATGTTTATGATGGGAAAATAGTGGAAAATCTGAAAAAGTAAGTCACAATTTTGCCTTCCCTTTCCTGGAGGGAGCTTTTAGAGGTGGACATCCGGTTCCTATCACCACCACTGTGAACAATTCTGAGTTTCTCTAAAATGGAGCATTTCACACCAAACCACTCTGAATGGCTCTTCCAACTTTTTAATTATGCAGATTGTTTTTAAAGTAGTTAAAAGCACTTTAATGTACTGTACTGCAGATAATATTTATACTTAACCTGTTTTTTCTGCTCTTTTGGTTCATTTTGTGTTTCAGGATGACGCTGGGTGCGGTAGCCTCAGTGATTTTGGCCATAGGAGGAGCAGCTCTGTTTTCTTCAGTTCACAAGATTGAAGAAGGACACACCGGTGTTTACTACAGGTCAGTATGTCTAATTAGACCAGTTCACTGATATTTTCAAGATTTCAGGGGCCGTATTACAGAAACTTCTTAGGTCTGAAATCTTATCTGTTTAGTCACCATAACGACTTCAGTCAGGATTGAATTCAGGACAGAAGCTGTTACAGAACAACAGTTCTTAAGTTCCTAATCTTATCATTAACTCCAGATAAGAAAACAGTGTTACAGGAACATCCTAACTAGACTAAATCTCCTAAATGCTGTCCTAACTTTAGGATAAACCCCAACAGAGTCCTAACTTCTGTTTAATCGTCTGTTTCTATTGTTTTATGCAGCTCAGTTCACTATAACTGGCATAGTGACGCTCCATTTATCTACACTGGAAACGGTGCTTTGAAAGCGTTTAAAAGCCCCAGACGCTGCAGACTCGATCTCCACCGTCACTCTGATTACCTTCGTGTGTTAATGTTGATGATGAAATATTACAGTGATGGTGGTGAATAATGAGGAGACGGAGCTGAACGTGTGTCTGTTTATTAGGAGGAGTAACGTTAGCGCGCTTGGCTAAAGCGTTTGGGGAATCGAGTCCAGCAGATGGTGCTGTAGCTCATGGTTTTTGAGACCTGCTTGCTTAACTCATCACATACTTGCTTCAAACTGCTCATAGTAATTCCAGAGTGTCCAGTTAGTTCGGCTTTGGGTGTCATTTAGCAGCAAACTGTTCAGGGGTGAGGGGGATGAATCTCAGGTATAAATGGAGAAAGAAAAAAAAAAAAAATTAATGTTGTCATTTTTAAATGTATAGTTGTGTAAAAAGGAGATTTTTTAATAAATAAGGAGATTAATTGAAGCTCAGATTTCGAGCATAAATGCCTACAAACACTTATTCCAGTTCTCTGTTTAGCAGTAAGAGTATAACTTAAAATACCAGAGGTACAAAAAATGAAAAAAATAGATACAGTAATTTCACAATAATGTATTTAACTCCCCTTCCGCCCAATGACACCTGGTATAGGCTCCAGCACCCCCCCGCGACCCAGAAGGATAAGCGGTTTAGATGATGATGTGTATATAACTCCTAAGCTTACTCGTTGTTGCTTCTAACCCAAACTGGATCGCAAGAGCTGTGATCATCTTTTAATTTTCTCTGCCTCAGTCAATTTCCTGTCACCTGTAATACCATGAATTTCATGTAAAACAGATTTACGAAGTTCCCATGTCCACCAGAGGTGACATCAAAAAAATATTAGATGCTATTAGATGCTTAAACTTTTATGGATATTAGTAAAATTGCTTTTAAAATTTAGCTAAAAAAACATTTTGCTACCTAAAACATATCAACTATAAGCTTTAGAAGCATCATAAATGCATATTTTTCAACTTTTTACTTCTCTCGCTCCCATAAAATGAGGTTACTGAAATGGCAGAACTCCAGTTGCGAATGACCAACAAATGATACATCACTGGAAAGGCCAGGATGTCTCCACAGGTAACAGTTTACTTAAGCAATAGAAGACGAGAGGGAGTGTGTTATTGGTGATGACACACTCCTCAAGTGTTCTATTACTTTTATACAACAGTTAAATAAATAAAGTAATAAATTAATAAACTGGGTCGTGAACACAGCGTTTAATATGTTTTAATGTTCGCAGTTCCTTCACCAAATTATAGTTCCTTAACGAGCAGCTTGTTGCTACGTCGAACGAACTCCGCCCACTCGCTGCACAGCCGGCAGTTCGTTCTCCAGCTCCTTACACTAAATTCCCAAACTGTCATCACCACTGAGCAGCTTTTCAGTCGGCAGCTGTGACAGAAGAACAGCTAAACAACCTGGAATCAGCCAGAAATGAACCCAATACCATTCGCCAAATGTGTAGTCTGATCTTCAGAGTCTGACCAAATCAGACTGAGCCATAAAACTGCTGCAATATCAAGTTTAGCTCAGTTTTGTCAATTTTTGCCAGATCAGTATTAATGTTGTTTTGTTCCAGCCAGTCTGTAAAGAATCTAACAGTCTATTTAGTTTGGCCAATGGTGTTGGGTTCATTTCTGGCTGATTCCAGGTTGTTCTCCTGTCACAGCTGCCAACTGAAAAGCTGCTCAGAGCTGATAAAATGGACAATGAGCGTAGAAACAAGGAGGTGGTCAGAATGTTATGCCTGATTGGTGGGCACAGCTTCTCCACCATCTCCAGAGGCCCCCACAACGACTTGTTGTATCCAAGAAACGTCTTCTTTACCAAAGCCCAAAGAAAAACATGCTTGCTAAACAGCACAGAACCAAATCCTTATGCACACAAACCATCACAAGTAAACATTACCAAGTGAATCATTTCAAAAGAACCCATGTGTCAGGGCTCCAAACAGTGTATTGTAGTGTAATGTGTGTTTTTCCTCATCTAGAGCAGATTTCCTCGCGTGACCATCTGTATACTGCCAAAAATAATGAGGAAACACATCGACTAGGACTAACAATATTTCAGGTGATTCATTTTGCAAGTGATTATGCTGGAAACAGTGATTTCTAATTGGAAAATATTTTGAGCTGGTTTCCAGACATACACTCTTAGCAAAAAGGGTCTAATGATTTATAACAGTGGAACGCTTCTTTTAAAAGGGTTCTTTGAAGAACCATGTACAGCTCTTTTTCGTCATAGAGTATAACCAACTGACCGTGCAAAGACCATCTATGCATTCAAACGGTTCTTTGAGTGTTCATGAATCTATATAGCAGTGGTCCTCAAACCTGCCCCCAGGCAGTCTGTATTTTCGCTCCAACCCACCTCGCAATGCATAGGAATAGAGGAAAACCATGGACTGGTTTCAGAAACACTGATACACAGAACCATTGCCTTTACTAAAGAACCTATGAAGAAAATGTTTTAAGAGTGTAGATTAAGCTTGGGCAGGAGCTGAAATTACTTATTAAAAGTACTGACAACATTCAGAATACAAGAGTACAAGCTACTGCCACTCCTTTTAGCTATGCAATGTTCTTTGGCCATTTTTATATATGACAGTATGTCACAGAATGTCAGAGACCACATAAGCAAGTCTATTTGAGCTGTATATGGATGTGTTGTGAAACTGTCAGAGAAACATGTCTTGACTGATCGACTGTATGTAGGGTAAAGGGGAAAACGGTGCAAATGATTCCTCTGTTTTTCAGGGGCGGGGCTCTGCTGACAACCACCAGCGGTCCAGGGTTCCACCTGATGCTGCCATTTATCACCACCTTCAAGTCTGTACAGGTGAGAAAGTTACACTTTTAGAGCCTTCCTCATTAATCTGTGATGCTTCAGTGACAGAATTCATTCTGTTATTTTTTATGCTTCTCAAAAGGTTCTTGTCTTAAGGGGAGAGAAGCAGAAGTTCCAGACAGATGGGCCCTTTGCCATAGTTCATTATTTTTGGAAAATACTGGGGCAAATGGTTGTAATTCACGAGAACCGCTTTATGCAGCACTGTGCTTAAGAAAAAAACATTGAAATCTGTTTATCTGGGCAGTAAGTGTTTAGTTGTTCAGAAAACACTGATAACAACAAATACAGTGGATATAAAAAGTCTACACACTCCCGTTAAAATGCCAAGTTTTTGTCATGTAAAAAAATCAGACCAAATACCAAAAATGAATAATTTCAGTTTTATTTCTACCTTCAAAGTGACCCATAAACTAATTTCCCGGTTGTGGGACTAATAAGGGTCACTTAATCAAAAACTGGCTATTTTTCTTCTGGGGGTGGTCATGGGCTGGAGGTTAGGTAACCAGCCTTGTGACCGGAAGGTCGCCGGTTCGATACTCGGAGCCGACAGTACATGACTGAAGTGCCCTTGAGTGAAGCACCTAACCCCCAACCGCTCCTCGGGCGGCGTGGATAGGGCTGCCCCCCCGGCTCCGGGTGAGTGTGCTCACTGCCCCCTGATAGTATCCATCACTGCTGCACTAAATGGGTAAGTCAGCAGCAGTAAAATAATCTAAAATAATAAACAAACAAATAAACAAGCTAGGTTAAAAAAAGGCTGAACTTATCAGCCAATCAGAGCGCAGGAGGGCGGGGCTTTAGTTTTCTGGAGTTTCACACAACTTGTAGAAATGACCTCAGGTTTGTGGCCTTATAAACGCTAAATTTATAAACATTCTACTCAACAGAATTTTACAAAGAATTTTATAATTTTAGAAATGAGCGAATGAGCTAATGTTAGCATCATAACTGCTAAATGGCAGCTATGCTAGCCAGCATTCTGTTTTTTTTTTTTTAATTTTTTATTTGATGCAATTATTCATAAGTTACAACGACATACGTCACTACTGCACTAAATATGTAAATTAACAGCAAAATAATCTAAAATAACAAATACGTATATAAATAATAAATATTAAAAAGAGAGATATTTTTGGTTTTATGAGTATGAGCTATTGAACCACTATCCAATCAGATCACAGAAGGGCGGGGATTTGGTGTTCTAGATATTTTATACAGCTTCAAGAAATGAATTAAAATGTGTGACGTTATAAATGCTGAAGTCTAAAAATACTAGGTGATCAGAGTTCATGATGTCGAGGCTTTAGCGTTTTAGATAGAATTGTAATTTTCTGTTTTCTTCTAGATAGCATTCTAGAACAACATACTGCTTTAGGATTATGAACTGCTGAACTGATAACCAATCAGAGAGAGGAGCATAGAGCTTTAGTGTTCTGGAATTGTATGTAGTTTGTAGGAGTTTTTCTATAGTTTTAGCATTATAAAGCTAAATGGTAATACTAGCCAGAGTTTATAAGGGCGAGGCTTTGGCGTTCTAGACAGAATGTTTAAAATTTTCTTCTAGAAAGCATTCCAGAATGGCTTAACGCTTTGTAAGTATGAACCACCACTAGCCAAAGAGGGTGTGTTTACTAGTGTGTATGTGGTGTTTCACTGCACGGATGGGTTAAATTTCCCCACTGTGGGACTAATGAGGGTCACTTAACTAACTAATCTGTACAATTCCATTGAGATAAACATGAAATCATTTAGAAGGGGAAAAATAAAAATAACAGAACTAAAATAATGTGGTTGCATGAATGTGAATGCCCTCTTATAATTGGGGTTGTGGTTGTGTTCAGAATTAGCCAATCACATTTACTCATGTGAGTAGTCATATAAATAGTAGTCAGTACACAGCTGCCATCATTTAAAGTGATTCTGATTAACCACATATAAATGTTTAGCTGTTCTAGTAGGACTTTCCTTACATTTTCTTAGTTGCATTTTACAGGAAAAGCCATGGTCCGTAAAGAGCTTACTACACATCAAAGGGATCTGATTATTGAAAGGTATCATTAGATATACCATGGACCACAGTGAAGACGGTCACTGAGAAGTGGATTAAATTTGGCACAACAGTGACATGACCATTACCAATCCCTCACAAATGGATGAAAAGACAAGAAGAAAACTGGTAGGAATTTCTGGCAAGTACTGGTTGTGTAGTGCATGTGACAACAATCTCCCGTATTCTTCACATGTCTGGGCTGTGGGGTCGGGTGACAAGACGGAAGCCTTCTCTAACAAAGGAAAACATCCAATCCTGGCTATGTTTTGTCAAAACCTACATCAAGTCTGCCAAAAGTACAACCCCATTTCCAAAAAAGTTGGGACGCTGTGCAGAATGTAAATAAAAATAGGATGCAATGATGTGCAAATCATGTAAACCATGTTTTTAAAGGAAAATACTACAAAGACAACATATCAAATGTTGAAACTAAGACATTTTATCATTTTTTGAAAAATATGCCCATTTTGAATTTGATGCCAACAGCACATACCAAAAACGTTGTTTACCACTGTGTTTCATCACCTCTTCTTTTAACGACACTCTGTAAGCGTTAGTAACTGAGGAGACGCTGCTGTAGTTTTGAAAGTGAAATGTTTTCTCGTTCTTGTTTGATACAGGATTTCAGCTGCTCAACAGTTCACTGTCTCTTTTGTCATATTTTTCATTTCATAATAGTCCAAATGTTATCAGTGGTGACAGGTCTGGACTGCAGGCAGGTCAGTTTAGCACCCGGACTCTTTTAATACGGAGCAATGCTGTTGTAATACATGCAGAGTGTGGTCTGGCATCATGTTGCTGAAATAATCAAGGCCTTCCATGAAAAAGACGTCGTCTGGATGGCAGCATATGTTGCCAAAACATGTATATATCATTCAGTATTAATGGTGCCTTCACAGATGTGCACGTCACCCATGCCATGTGCACTAATGCCCCCCTACACCATCATGAATACTGGCTTTTGAACTGTGCACTGATAACAAGCTGAGTGGTCTTTAGCCTGGAGGACACAGTGTCCATGATTTCCAAAAAGAATTTCAAATGTTGATTCGTCGGACCACAGGACACTTTTCCACTTCCCCTCAGCCCATTTTAAATGAGTTCTGGCCCAGAGAAGGTGGCAGCATTTCTGGATCCTGTTTATATTTGGTTTCTTCTTTGTGTTTTAGAGTTTTAATTAGCATTTGTGGATGCAGCGTCAAACGTTTTTCACAGACAGTGTTTTTCAGAAATGTTTCTCCATGCAGTGATTTCCTCTACAGAATCATGTCTGCTGCCTGAGGGCCCAAAGATCACGGCCAGCAAATACTGGTTTTCAGTCTTGTCCCTTGCGTACAGAGATTTCTCCAGATTCTCTGAATCTTCTAATGTTATTATGTACCGTGGATGATGAAAAGCAAAAGTTCTTCGCTGTTTTACGTTGAGAAACGTTGTTCTTGAATTGTTGCACTGTTTGCCTGTGCAGTCTTTCACAGAATGGTGAACCCCATTTTCAACATTTGAAATGTTGTCTTTGTACCATTTTCAACGAAATATAGGGTTTAAATGATCAGAACATCATTGCATTTTGTTTTTATTTACATTTTGAACAGCGTCCCACCTTTTGGGAGAACGTGTTATGGTCTGATGAGACCAAGGTTGAACTTTTTGGCCAAAATTCCAAAAGGTATGTTTGGCGCAAAGCCATCACTGCACATCACCAAAAGAACACCATACCCACAGTGAAGCATGGTGGAGGCTGCATTATGCTTTGGGGCTGTTTTCCTGCAGCTGGAACTGGGGCTTTAGTCAAGGTGGAGGGAATTATGAACAGCTCCAAATATCAGTCAATGGCACAAAACCTTCAGGCCTCTGCTAAAAAGTTGAAGATGAAGAGGAATTTCACCTTTCAGCATGATAATGACCCAAAGCAAACCTCCAAATCAACAAAAGAAAGGCTTCGCCAGAGGAAGATCAAAGTTTTGGAATGGCCCAGCCAGAGCCCAGACCTGAATCCCATTGGAAATCTGTGGGTAGACCTGAAGAGGGCTGTACACAGGAGATGCCCTCGCAGTCTGACAGATGATGGAAAACACTGAATAAAGCATTGGCTGACTAGAGAGGCTTGGAGCCCTCCTAAAAAGATAATATAGGGAAGCTGACTATGGACTGCACGCTGCAGACTGTCTAAAGGGGGAAGAGTTTCTGGGCCCACAGAAGGGAGCTGGACCAGATGACAGTTTAAGTTATAGCTGAGGTCCACTTTTGTACATATATGGGGGGTTGTGTGTAAGATGGCACTATGGAGAGCTGCGTAAGAAGGCCCTGTAAGGAGAGAACAGTCTGGTAAGAGTCAGACCAGAGTGGATTTAAAAAAAAAAAAAAGACACAACATGCGTTTTGGTTTAAATGTTACCAAAAAAGGTGTACGGTTTGGACATGATGGGGACTAAAATGGTACAGAATCGTGTAAATGGGGTGGGGAGATTCTCATCACCCCAGAGGGCAATAAAAAGGGATGTTTTAAGATGATATTCGCATTCTGGTTGACCAGGAAACATCTTGCCATTTGATGCTCAATAAAGCGAAGGCCTTTTCCTTCCTTCCACAAGAACTCAGAGGCTGAAGCCTTTTTTCATTCCTTTTTATCCTTTTTCATTTTTGTTGATTATTCTTTGATTCTTTGAATTCTTTTTGAAGATTTTAGATTAGATTTATAGTATAGTCAATATTAGAGTTGCTTATAAATGTCTGGACCCTGGACAAAAGAGAGAGCTCTTGGTTGCGACACAGATTTGGAACGCTTTTGCAAGAGTGGGCAAAGATTGCCAAGTCAAGATGTGCCATGCTGATAGACTCCTACCCAAAAAGACTGAATGCTGTCATTATGTCAAAGGGTATTTCAACAAAGTGTTATTTTAGGGGGCATATTTATGCAACCATATTATTTTGGTTCTTTATTTAAATGATTTCAGTTTGTTTTTCAGTAGAATTGTGTAGATTATGGGTCACACTGAAGGTGGAAATAAGTCTGAAATGATTCATCTTGGTCGGTTCTACCATCTACCATTTTAACAGGGGTGTGTAGACCTTTTATATGCACTCCTTTGTGATTTGATATGTGGTGCCTTAAACATTTTTAAATGACATGCCTTGTGGATTTTGTACTTGAAAATAAGTTAACACACAGACAGCGAAGCTGCTGACTGAACACAGGCTAATAAGAGCCTTTATCATGTTTATCATGTTTGGATCCAGACATCAAGGCACTCAACTCAGCTGTGAGCTAGTGGTGCAATATTTTTCCAGCTTTCACTGTGATATCACTGTGATAATCTGATAACTGCAGAAAATCGGATTTTGTCAGTAATCTGATCAACACTTTTTATGCACAGACAGTAATTAGATTTCTGCCTTGCAACCAGCCAAACTTCATGCCGCAGCTTTTTTTTGTTAAACATTGCATCGCTTTATCTGAAAATATGAACGTACATCATCTAGAAGATGAAGAATATTTAAATTTATTTTGTGTTTGGTTTCAGCGTCACTGCAAGAGTGTTTTGCTGCGTCTTGCAGTATATCTGCTCGCTTATTTCCGGTACCGCAGTCTGTTTTCGCACATTTGCAGATTGAGAAATCCGAAAGAAATCAGAGTAAGAGTTCACATGCACTGACAAATCTGATTACTGAGTTAAAATCCAGCTTTATCGGATTTCTTGATCTGATTTTTAGATCGGAGTATGGTGTTTATATGACCAATGACCATAACTGCAGAAATCCGATTATGATTGGATTATTGAGTGCAGGTAAACGCACTCAGTGTTTCTCAGCCCAATATTCATCCTCAATTTGCAACTGCCCTATGCATAAAAGCGCTAATAGGTCCAGTCAGGTTTGTATCACGTGATAACGGGGAAGATTGGGAAGTTTGAGTTCTTATTCCTTGCTGAAAATCGCCACGTGTGCTATACTCTCTCTTTGCCTTATCGTCTTGTTTGAGCGCCATCACGTGAAGTTTGTGACGACCTCAAACCTGTTAGAAATCTGTGAGGATCCATTTTGATTTCAGTCTGACTTTAAAGCAGGGAAAACTCTAAGCTACACAGTGCAGAGGGACTCCATAACTTCAGGAATGCACTGTATTATGTTACCGTGTGCTTTGGCGCCTCAGCTCTGTCTTCGTTTGATTGTAATGGAATCCTCAGGTGTGCAGGTTTGTAATGTGAGTGGCTGACACTGTGCAAGGCTGTCTTTGACTAGAAAGAGGCACTGAGATGATTTTATTACATGCCAATGTAATTTTATTACATTGCCTTGGGGATCTGTGAGTGTGGATGGTGCTTCAACCCAAAATTATGCCTTAAAAATACTGATCAGCTCACCCCTTTGTCCTGAAAGGCATTCATTGTTATCTGAGTGGTGGCAGCCTTCCGCCCAGTGACTGTCGGGATAGGCTCCAGCACCAGCACGACTCAAGAAGTTAAGCGGCTTAGATAATGTGCGAGTGGTCTAATCTCATCACAGTAGTGAGGAACCCGCAGGGCCTTCAGATGCTAGAGGGCGCTCATGAGCAACTCCAAAATGTATAGGTTCTTATGGAGCTTTTGTGCAAAATCATAGTTTGTAAATATGCAATAATGTTTATACAGAGAAATGCAATATTTTCGAGTTATAGAACATTCTGACAGTCCTCACAACCTGAGTGAGATCAGACCGCTTCACTCAGCCAATGAGCCGATCAGCTCATCAACCAATCAGCACTCAGTAGCAGTAATGGTGAGAAATCAGCACTCAGTAGCAGTAATGCCAACCAATCAGCAAACAGCAGCAGTAATGCTAACCAATCAACAGTCAGTAGCAGTAATGCCAACCAGTTAGTAGCAGTCATGCCAACCAATCAGCACTCAGTAGCAGTAATGTTAACCGGTCAGCACTCGGTAGCAGTAATGTTAACCAGTCAGCACTCAGTAGCAGTAATGCCAACCAATCAGCACTCAGTAGCAGTAATGCCAACCAATCAGCATTCAGTAGCAGTAATGCCAACCAATCACCACTCGGTAGCAGTAATGTTAACCAATCAGCACTCAGTAGCAGTAATGCCAACCAATCAGCACACGGTAGCAGTAATGCCAACCAATCAGCACTCAGTAGCAGTAATGCCAACCAATCAGCACACGGTAGCAGTAATGTTAACCAATCAGCACTCAGTAGCAGTAATGCCAACCAATCAGCACTCAGTAGCAGTAATGTTAACCAATCAGCACTCAGTAGCAGTAATGCCAACCAATCAGCACTCAGTAGCAGTAATGTTAACCAATCAGCACTCGGTAGCAGTAATGCCAACCAATCAGCACTCGGTAGCAGTAATGCCAACCAATCAGCACTCAGTAGCAGTAATGTTAACCAATCAGCACTCAGTAACAGTAATGCCAACCAATCAGCACTCAGTAGCAGTAATGCCAACCAATCAGCACACGGTAGCAGTAATGCCAACCAATCAGCACTCAGTAGCAGTAATGCCAACCAATCAGCACACGGTAGCAGTAATGTTAACCAATCAGCACTCAGTAGCAGTAATGCCAACCAATCAGCACACGGTAGCAGTAATGTTAACCAATCAGCACTCAGTAGCAGTAATGCCAACCAATCAGCACTCAGTAGCAGTAATGTTAACCAATCAGCACTCGGTAGCAGTAATGCCAACCAATCAGCACTCGGTAGCAGTAATGTTAACCAATCAGCACTCAGTAACAGTAATGCCAACCAATCAGCACTCAGTAACAGTAATGCCAACCAATCAGCACTCAGTAGCAGTAATGTTAACCGGTCAGCACTCAGTAGCAGTAATGTTAACCAATCAGCACACGGTAGCAGTAATGTTAACCAATCAGCACTCAGTAGCAGTAATGCCAACCAATCAGCACTCAGTAGCAGTAATGCCAACCAATCAGCACACGGTAGCAGTAATGTTAACCAATCAGCACTCAGTAGCAGTAATGCCAACCAATCAGCACTCAGTAGCAGTAATGTTAACCAGTAAGCACTCAGTAGCAGTAATAATAACGTATACGTTAACCACTTACTAAGAATTAACTAAGCTTTAAGGAAACGTTTCTGCATCACTAAGCTGCAAAGTAATGAATAAGTACTTTTGTAGATAATTCATTCATAATCATTGTTTTTTAATACAATAAATAAATGACTAATATTTCAAGTTATATAATATTTGAGCTTTGAGTATCGAATAACTAAATCATTAAGAATAAACTATAATTAATGATTAGGTTTCTGCAGTTCAGAGTAATTATTGATTATCCATATGTCACTAAGTAAATGATGTAATAATTCAAATGGTGACATTTTTTAATGCCTGAACTATTTATAGGGGCCTGTTGTTGTGAATTGTTACAGATTTGTTTTTTTTACAGGTTTTTTGTTTGTTTGTTTGTTTGTTTGTTTGTTTACCTTTATGACCCTAACTGAAGACCTAGCACTAATAGTCACAGTCCACCACTGGATCATAACACTCCAGATCATCACACATACACTTTATTTTTGTTTTTCTCTGATTTTACAGACCACCCTGCAGACAGATGAAGTCAAAAATGTCCCTTGTGGCACAAGGTAAGACGAGTCACTGTGCATTTACCTATTTGTGCACCAGACTGTAACTTACTAGTCACCTCACCTCATCGTTACTGGCCCATTGCCTGCGTTGCTACATTTTGTGTCACTGATTTATGAGGTCTGTGGTTCATCACTGACCGCAGCAATGTAAAAGTCAAACCCCCCATTGCTCAACCCCTTGAAATCCCAGACTTATTGCATAACATACCAAGGCTTATTATCAAGTAAGTGCAGGGACTTCACTGGTTGAGCTACTCTTAGGTTATAGAAGTGTGTAATAAAACTTTGCTCACTAATGCTCAGTCAAACCCCACAGCAACGTTCCAACATCCAGTGTAAAGCCTTCCCAGAAGAGTAGAGGCTGTTACTGCAGCAACTCACTATTAATACCCTTCAGAAGAAACACTGGATGAGCACATATTTTGGGACATATAATGTAACTCCATTGTTGAGGACACTGAATGCACCTGACCTTCTGCTGCCTGAACTGAGCTGAATCACATCACTATATCACCTCTCCTTTTAATACACACTGTGCAATACATCATAACCACTACTGTAATGACTCTCACTGCACACTCTAGACTGTAAATACTGCTGATACTCCTTGTTACGGTTATACACACTGGGTACTAGACTACCTCATAGCTCTTAGTGCAATACCTGCTCTCATGTAAATACAGCAAGTCTGTCTTATATAGTATGTAAATATGCAAATAGAGACTTTTATTCTGACTCTCTCAAACTTTAACTTACGTCTGTTTTTATTTGTGCAATTATGTCTTGCTACTGTAACACTGCTATCTATCTATCTGTCTGTCTGTCTGTCTATCTATCTATCTATGTGATTGTCTGTTTGTCTATCTGTCTGTCTGTCTGTCTATTTATCTATCTGTCTATCTGTCTGATTGTCTATCTATCTATCTATCTGATTGTCTGTTTGTCTATCTATCTATCTGTCTATCTGTCTGTCTGTCTATTTATCTATCTGTCTGATTGTCTATCTATCTATCTATCTGATTGTCTGTTTGTCTATCTATCTATCTATCTATCTATCTGTCTGTTTGTCTATCTATCTATCTATCTATCTATCTATGTATCTATCTATCTGTCTGTCTGTCTGATTGTCTATCTATCTATTTATCTATCTATCTATCTATCTATCTATCTATCTATCTGTCTGTCTGTCTGATTGTCTATCTATCTATTTATCTATCTATCTATCTATCTGTCTTTCTGTCTTTCTGTCTGTCTGTCTATTTATCTATCTGTCTGATTGTCTGTTTGTCTATCTGTCTGTCTATCTGTCTGTCTGTTTATCTATCTGTCTATCTGTCTGATTGTCTGTCTATCTATCTGATTGTCTATCTATCTATCTGTCTGTCTGTCTATCTGTCTTTCTGTCTGTCTATTTATCTATCTGTCTGATTGTCTGTTTATCTATCTATCTATCTATCTATCTGTCTGTCTGTCTGTCTGTCTGTCTGTCTGTCTATCTGTCTGATTGTCTGTTTATCTATCTATCTATCTGATTATCTTTATCTCTATCTATCTATTTATCTATCTATCTATCCATCTATCCATCTACCTATCTACCTATCTATCCATCCATCCATTATAATATGAAAAGCCAGTTGTTTTCTGATATTTCCCTCAGTTCTTTCCTGTTGTTTATTTACGAGTTCTGTCTCTTTTTCAGTGGTGGTGTCATGATCTACTTTGATCGAATAGAGGTGGTGAACTACCTCATACCCTCAGCTGGTAAGTAACTCGTGTTCTGTTTGGTTTTTTATGTAAGAACAGTGATTTTTTTGTGCTCAGAGTTTTACAGCTGTCAGTAGGGAATGGGGGGTGCTTTGTAGGCTCTTGGTCTTTTGCCACTCTTTTCTCATAAATCAAAATCCTCTCATAAATCCTCGCCCACAGTGTACGGCATTGTGAGAAACTTCACGGTGGATTACGACAAGGCTCTGATCTTCAACAAAGTTCACCACGAGCTGAACCAGTTCTGCAGTGTGCACACACTTCAGGAGGTCTACATAGGCCTGTTCGGTAAGACATGAGCCTTTATGTTTAAATCCAGCTCATTTACACATTTTATACATCACATAGTACCAGCGTTGTGGACAGCAGGCTCACCAGAGCATTGATGGAGCTTGAATAGTTACCCAGGAGAGTTCTGTAATATGGGAGTACTGAGAAGATTGGTGATTTAAATCCAGTATGAATCTGCAGTGTGTGTAGTTATTATTACTGTCAGACTGTAAAACTACACACACTGCAGATTCATACTGGATTTAAATCGCTCCACAATTATTACTGTCAGACTGTAAAAACTACACACACTGCAGATTCATACTGGATTAAAACCGCTCCACAATTATTACTGTCAGACTGTAAAAACTACACACACTGCAGATTCATACTGGATTTAAATCGCTCCACAATTATTACTGTCAGACTGTAAAAACTACACACACTGCAGATTCATACTGGATTAAAACCGCTCCACAATTATTACTGTCAGACTGTAAAACTACACACACTGCAGATTCATACTGGATTAAAATCGCTCCACAATTATTACCGTCAGACTGTATAAACTACACACACTGCAGATTCATACTGGATTAAAATCGCTCCACAATTATTACCGTCAGACTGTATAAACTACACACACTGCAGATTCATACTGGATTTAAATCGCTCCACAATTATTACCGTCAGACTGTAAAAACTACACACACTGCAGATTCATACTGGATTTAAATCGCTCCACAATTATTACTGTCAGACTGTAAAAACTACACACACTGCAGATTCATACTGGATTAAAATCGCTCCACAATTATTACCGTCAGACTGTAAAACTACACACACTGCAGATTTATACTGGATTAAAATCGCTCCACAATTATTACAGTCAGACTGTAAAAACTGCACACACTGCAGATTCATACTGGATTAAAATCACTCCACAATTATTACCGTCAAGCTGTAAAACTACACATACACACACTGCAGATTCATACTGGATTAAAATTGTCAGTATTCACCCAAATTACAACTTACTCCCTTGCCCTCTAGTGGGATATTAACTCAACTTGACATTCATAACTACCATTCAAATGCAAGAGACTTCCTGCGTTTGTTCAGATCAGTTTAATTTAATTCAACTTTGTCATTATATCTATAAGGGTTGTACAGTATAACGAGACGCTATCAGTACCTGGCAACGAGACACAAACAGTCCACAACAGTCAAAAAGTTGCTACCTTAGCTACTCCAGATTTAAGATCTTTCACACTGGGGTGTTTTTATATGATGTACATTTTCCCCCATGAAATATCCTTGCTGTTGTATATCCGGATCCCTTAATCTAGAGCAGTATTCCCTGAATGTTCCTTCATTGCTAAGGCTGCATTCACATTACCAGGCTGAAGTGGCACAAATCCGATTTTTTGCCCTAACTTGACTCAGATCTGATGTTTTCAGAGCTGTGTGGACACAAATCTGATCTTTTCAAATCCGACCTGAGCCACTTTCATATGTGGTCCTAGATCAGATACGTATCTGATTCATGGCCATGCGACCTTAATGTGACGCTCAGATCGGAATTCATGTGCTCTTATTCCACTGCGTGTGTGCCGTCATTCAGCGTTACCATGGCAGCAGCGCCGAACAGAAATTAAAGCCTGTAAATGGTGGAAAAGCAACACATCCCACCTTTTTCTCCTTCGTCTCGCTCTAATAATGAAGCTGAGAGCTGATCAGAGTTAATTATCTTCTCAGCGAAGCTCGTTTTGCTCGTTAGTTTGTGCTGATGATGCAGTGATTCATTCACGTGACGTTACTGAGTAGGATGTGCGCATGCGGGTCATTTCAGGACGCCGGTTCGTTCACATTAATGACAGATTTGAGTCTCTTACCTAAACGAGTGTGAACCATCCTGTCAGAGAGATCAGATTTGAGCAAAAAATTGGATTTGAGCAACGAGGCTTGTAATGGGAACGTAGCCTAAATTTTGTGAGCTGGACCAAGATGTGGACTGTCTGTGGAGTCCAGAGGTCCAAATTGAAAAAAAGTTAATTATATCTTTAAATTTGACGTCCAACTTGTATGAGAAATGAAAAGTCCAGGTACAGGAATGACAGTGTGGTTTAAAAGCTCTGTGGAAGCCTGTTGGTGGCAGTTAGAAGAAACAAAGAAAAACAACACTGTTCTCGCAACAGGTATGAGCAAGAAAACAATGCATGTGTGGGTGTAGCACAGACAGGACAGTGAACCCCTGAAACTGTAAGGTTTGTTATGTGGGTCCAGACTTAATTTCTTCATTCTCATAACTACAGAACCTACACATTAGTTTGGGAGAAGAGACTGAATAATTCCTTGTAAATGCTGCATAATTGGGTAAGGAATGATACCTGTGTGTGAGTGCTGGAGTGCACAGTGAATTTAACTGTGTGTGTGTGTGTGTGTTGCAGATCAGATTGATGAGAATCTGAAGCTGACCCTGCAGGAAGATCTGACCTTAATGGCTCCTGGTCTTATCATTCAGGTGCGTTCAGAATGTATGTTGTTATATTTTTCCATTCCAGGCTGGATTTAACATATTTTGGGAGGAAAGTAAAGCATAAAACATTGCATGAGCGAAAGTTCTGGCATGTTTTGTTTTTTCCCAATATGTTAAACTCAGCAAATAAATAGAAATTGTGCGTTTAAATGTGCAGAAATGTGCTCTCTGTAGAGGACGGGTTCACTTATTTTCACTTAGAAAATCCAAAGAACATGCAGTTTGACTGGGGTGTTAAAATGTTTGCATACAACTATATGTTTAAAATGTGAAAAATATATAAAATACTTTTGTAGTAATATTAATTATAATAAAATGTTGGGTCTCAGCAGTGCCCCTTGCTTGCCGCCACACAGCCTCTCCCAGAATCAGTCCATAGCCCGGTACTGGTATGCGTCACGATGGTTGGGAACCTCTGCTCCAAATCAAACATGACAAGAAAGTGTTTCACACATGGTTTACATCATTGTTTCTCATCGGTTCCACAGAATAAGCTTTTCAGGCGTCTGTTCTAGACACATCATTTTCATGGGTACACAGTAGATGGTGCATCAGTCAGACTTATTCAGAACACATGTTCGAAATCAGTGTTGATTTTTCTCTCTAAAAATGATAAAAGCCCTTGTTATGCAATAAAAGTAGTGCGAGTTATTTGTAGAGCCTGTCTTGGCAAGAAGTCCTCGTTAAACTAGAAGTGCTTCAGCTGGATCGCACGGGCCGAACTCAGCAGTTGTTCCCAGAGAACAATGGGTTTCTAATCAAGCCCAGAACAAACGCATGCTACACTGTACACATTCCCACAGATCTCAGCCTGGCAGGTCAATCACAGGTCTCAGGGGACAGAAAAGGCCTGTAAACCGCAGGCTCTGCTTAGACCTGCTGTTCATTAAGTTGTGCACCCAGGTGGCACCATGGTTTCCATGGTAACTGTGTAATCTGGGCACATCAGAGATTAACGATGCACAGATTTCATTATAAAATAGATTTTGTTTTTTGCACACTGATACAATTCTAATTCATATTGCTTTTTTCATTATTTTAAGTTCGTTCCGTCCAAGTATCGGTCCTGCCGTCAGTGAGTGCACATGCACTCCATAATCCGATCACAATCAGATTTCTGCAGTTATCCGATTATTCAGATGGTCATGTAAACACCGTACTCTGATCTAGAAATCTGAGTAAGAAATCTGATAAAGAGGCTGGATTTTAGCTCAGTAATCAGATTTGTCAGTGCATGTAAACTCTTACTCTGATTTCTTTCGGATTTCTCAGTCTGCACGTGTGCAAAAACAGACGGAAATAAGCAAGCAGTGTCGCCGCGAGACGCAGCAAAACACTTTTGGAGCGACGCAGAAACCGACTACATGCTTGGCGAAGTGAAGGATTTAAATATTCTTCATCTGTATGTTCTTCTTCATGATGTATGTTCATATTTTCAGGTAAAATGGCGCAATGTTTAGCCTTGGCATGAAGTTCGAGTTTTGCGTTTATTGTTTATTGTCACGTCGTCTTCTGTGAGTTTATTGGCTGGTTGCAAAGCAGAAATCCGATACTGTCTGACTCATGTAGACCTGGAGTTTCCCCCATTTCCCCATGCCCCTGATTACTCAAGAGCATGTAAACGTGTTGATCAGATTACAGACAAAATCTGATTTTCTGCAGTCATCGGATTATTAAGTGCATGTAAACACACTCAGTGTGAGTTTGAGTTCCCAGTGATGCCACAGCCATCTGTGGTCGGGAGTCCGGCAGAGCAGTTTGCAGTAAGCAGTCTAGTATGCCGTTTGCCGTTGGACAGAAGCTTACAGTGAGACTAAAATGCAGACTTGTATGCTTTTTGCATCAGTTATATACACAAGCTAGGACGATAGCTGACTTAAAGCAATGTTATGTAACAATTTTTCATTAGAATAAGAGGAAGGGAGTGAAAAAGAGAGAGTCACAGAGCAAGAGACCGGACAAGAGTAAATCTCGGGCTGGCTTTTACTCGTCAGCGAGAGATAAAGGATAAACGGAAAAACAACAAAAACCCGACAGCAGAGTGTTTCTCCCCGCCAGTGTATTTTTATTAAAGACTGCAACGTAGGTTGTAACCGTATCTGTGTGCACTGCAAAAAATGGTATCTTGTCAAGTAATATTATCTTAAATCTAGCCAATAAATCTCATATTTCTCCTGTTGAGATTGTTGTGATCTTAATTTAAGATTATTAACTTATTTCCAAACATGTTTTACTTGTTTAAAGTAATTAAGTGAATTTATTTCACCATATTGGCAGAAAATTTTTGCTCATTTTGAGAGATGTGCTCAGAACCAGCAAAATTATCTGCCACTATAGTGAGACAATTTTGCCTACAACAAGTAAAAAATGTCTAGAAATAATCTAGATAATCTTATAATTAGTGCAAAACATCTCAAAATAAGAAATATTAGATAAATCAACTAGAATTAAGACCATTTCACTGGATACTAGACAAGATACAGTTTTGTGCAGTGTGTGGTTGGGTGACCACACTGTTTCTGACACACTGCTGTTGGACCAAAGCTTACAGTGAGACTAAAATACAGACTTTTATGCTTTTATAATTTTTAGAATGCATCAGTTATATACAAAAGCTAGTGTGTCAGCTCACTTAAAGCAGCATTATGTAACAGTTTTACAGTAGAATAAGAGGAAGGAAGGGAAAAAGAGAGAGTGACCGAGCAAGGGACCGGACAGGAGTAAATCTCGGGCTGGTTTTTTCTTGTTGGAGAGAGATAAAGGGTGCAAGACAGTAGGGGTGTGACGATATGATGATATCAGGTCGCGAAGGATTATAATGTGTAAACGATACGCCATCACAGGGAGATCGTTGGATCGTGTTACAATGCACATTATATCTGCTGCAGTTCTATGCACATACAAGCAGTGTGGCTTTTTATTTTCCCTCAGTCAAAGCACACTATGTGCTAGTCCCTTTCATGCCCACCCTAGAGACACACAGATAAACCAATCATGGCAAACCAATCATGGCATACCATCATGCCTCGCTTTTCCCTCCCCTTTTTCACAAGCGGGAAGCACCGGCGAACAGTTAGTCCCCAAAAAAAGTCAACGTCAGTAATATGGAACTGGTTTGGATTTTCCCAAACTGACATGACACAAACTATGGTGGTTTGCAAAGCTTGCACAGAGAAGGTTCTCACGTTGGACGGCAACACGGCAAACCTTTTCAACCAGCGACAACATCCCAAACAGTACGCTGAAAGTCAAGCACTGAGGAGGTCCGCTGCGCTGCAGCCAACAGAGGCTAAAGTTAACGTTACAGCAAGACCAAAACAAACAACACTGACACAAGCATTTGAGAGGGGCGCTCCATATGAGAAGACAAGTAAACGATGGAAAGAGGTAACAGAAGCGATAACATTTTATCTGGCAAATGATATGGTTCCTATCAAAACGAGGGGTTCCAAAGACTCCTCAAAGTAGTTGATCCGCGGTTTGAGTTACCCAGAGGCAAATACTTTTCCAACACCGCAATTCCACGGATGTACACTGAATGTCGCGCCAAGATGGAAAACAAAGTTCAAAATGTCATTTTGCAAAAAGTGATGCTGGCTGTTCTGCAGAGTGCACTTTTCTGTTGTTTACCCTTCAAAACCAATGTTAATTTTTTGACTTAAATAGACTAAAATCTGTTCAAAAAGGTACTTTGACCAAAATGGTCTGTTATTGTTTTTTTCTTTTAGTATTATATTTTTAAATGGGGAGATTAGTTTGGTTTGTACTGTTTAGTAACTTGCAAAATGGTATTAAAAACCAACAGGAAAAAGAATCGTGATAAAATCGTGATCGTTATCCTGCAAAAAAAAAAAAACAAAATCGTGAAATTTGCAGCGTTTGCAGCTTCCTGTAATAAAACCCTGTAATATTACTCTACCTTGTAAGTCGACGTGGTGCTTTCTCTTCTAATGTTGATGCTGATGCTACATAAACGTGTGAAGGGGAGTCGGATCCTGTATCCTTCAGCTCCTCAACAGATACAGAATTTGGGACAGTTTGGTTCATCGAGGCCGCGAGGCAGGTGAATTAACTTTATCATGTAGGGAGATAACCGTTTGACACGGCGCTGACTGATCAAGAAGTCAGCTTTCATCTTTTTTAAGATTACTCGCTTTGTGCGGTTTGGCAGGCGAGGATACTTTCCTCCCAAATGATAAGAAATCTGTAATGCCAGAAATCCTCATACCTGTTACGTAAAATCAGGCTTTTATTAGACAGATGAGTGATACTGAAGATTGTAGCATGTTAAACACCAACATTTTCAGCTTTGTGTGGTCTGGAATGCGTCGTAATCCACAGAGACGGCAACTAAAAGTGGTTTAAACGTGCTGCTTGCTTCAATACACTATACAGAAAAAAGTATTGGGACACACCTCCTAATTATTGAGTTCAAGTGTTTCAGCCACACCCATTGATAACAGGTGGATAATATTAAGCTCATAGCCTTGTTTGTTCATAGTCTCCATAGAACAAACACTGCCAGTAGAGGGTCGTACCGATGAGCTCAGTGACTTTAAGCATGGCACTGTGATAGGATGCCACCTCTGCCACAGGTCAGTTTGTGAAATTTCCAAATTGCCTCTGGAAGCAACATCAGCAAACGAACTGTGCATCAAGGAGCTTCCCGAAATGGGATTCCATGGCCGAGCAGCTTCACACCAGCCTAAGATCAAAATGCACAATGCCAAGCGTCGGCTGGAGAGGTGTAAAGCGCCGCCACTGGACTCTGGAGCAGTGGAAACTCATTCTGTGGAGCGACGAATCACGTTTCTCTATCTGTCAGTCTGACGGACGACTCTGGGTTTGGCGAATACCAGGAGAACGTTACCGGCCTGACTGACGTGTTCCAGCTGTAAAGTTTGATGGAGGAGGGATGATGCTATGGGGCTGTTTTTCAGGGGTTGGTCTAGAACCCTTAGTTCCAGTGAAGGGAAATCTTAATG